CTTCTATGTATTTAAGCCTTGTGTTTCAGTGTGTCATGGTCGCGATCTTCCCCGTGTTGTAAATAGTTTGGTGTTTTGTTGTAAATAAATAGTTTGTTGTAAATAGCTGTAAATGGGTTTTGTCACTACTTTCGTTTTGAGACACTTTCGTTTTGGGATTTTGGTGGAGAGCCTTAGTGTTTTCTTCGTGGTTTTATTTTCCTTATCTTTGTTTTTCTACGTTGCACCCCGGTTGCCTAGGCCGGGGTGTAACAGAGCCAATTATAATATTAGGTTTTTCCAAGGATTTAGTGACACAGGCCTAGACACAAGTTAGTAACCCATTGGTGGCCTTCGTACACTATTGCTGGTAGATTGGTCTTGCAACGTTTGTGTGGAAGTGATCAAGTGTGTTGCATCGAGTGCGATGCAAACTAGAAACAGAGAACATTTACCTTCAGGGTTAAAGTTGCTAAAGCCAGTTTGTACAAAAGGTTCAACTTTTACTTTGAAGGTAAATGTTAAAGAAGAATCTTCATACAAAAAGTGAATTATGGAGCTCCACAGGGTTCAGTGTTAGGACCAGTTTTGTTTACATTATACATGCTTCTGTTAGGCAGTATCATCACAAGGCATAGCAGACATTACCACTGCTGTGCAGATGATACCCACCTTCATCTGTCTATCAAGCCACACACCAATGAGTTAAACTGGCCATCATTAAGTGGTCTCTATGCCTGCTTGGCTGGGACCTAACATCTCAAAATAAGTCTTCCTGTGAGCAAATTATGAAGATTATTCATAATTATCATTATTAATATTGTCCTTTGCTTTAAAAGAGGTTTGTCAGACACTGTTGAAGAATCAATACATGTGGGAATAAACTAAAGATATGATTTTGCACCAAATTATATCAACCATGTTTTCCTCCAGTAGAACATTTTACCTGATTTCCTGTAATTCTCAAATATACAAGCTCAACTTGTTGGAAATGTCATTATTACTACAAGGCAGATCCATTTAATTAAGGCATGCTCCAGTATTAAAAATCTCAATTAAAAAGAAATCAGTAATATTATTATATAAAAAAGTTGGGTTTTTTCCCTTTAGGTGTTGACACTCAGAAGAAGCTTCCAGCTGGGAAACGAAGCAGTTTCGGAGGTTTTGAAGTGAACCTGGGAGTGCTGTATCTGCTGATTCTGGCTGCAATCACGACACGCTGTGAGAAATTTTATTACCATGTTGTGTTATCTCTCCAAAACCCCATTTACTTAGAGACTGTGTCTGCACCCAAACCAACAAAAAACAAATGAAGAATGTGGATTATTAAACATTAGGTGTCTCTCTTCCAAATCTCTGTGAGTACATGAATTAATAATGATCATCAAAACTGTCTTACTCTGGCTTACAGAAACATGTTTACAGCAGGATGATTATATTAGTTTCAATGAATCAACACCTCCAAGTTATACTAATTGTTAGAATTCTCTACCCTTAGGCAGGATCGTGAGAAGACATAGCATACAGTTTCACTGCTATGCAGATGACACCCAATTCTATCTGTCCATGAAGCCAGATAACACACACCAATTAGTTAAACTGCAGGAATCTCTTAAAGACAAAGACTTAGAAACTAGACTATGAACAGAACACACAGCTGGGTATGAGGGAGACCGCAACGCAGGACAGAGGGAGATGCAGCCATAAATACACACAAGGGCAAACATAAAGACTGCTAATGAACCTAAAACATAAACCATAATACAAAAATGACACCAAAACACAAGAACTCAAAAACACTGGGTCACAATGACCCAAACCATGACATGTTTTTCTTACAGGCTTTTGACAGCATGGCTCTCTGTTGTTGAGTAAATGTTCGATGGTTGCTTCAGACCACTCATAGTTCTTTGATTATATTAACAAACGTGACAGGAAACTGAAGGTAACAAGATATTTTACCATTTCTGCTTTTAGCATATTTGCATTGGGATCTTTTTTTTACCCACCCAGTTCAAGTGCATAGTTATAGCTGAAGTGGCTGCTATATGACAAACATGTTATAGTGAGACAAAAACATAACATTTAGATTGGACCCCATAACAGTGGCAGGCAGCCTGCATGCTTCTACCAGTAGTTGGACTGGATCTGCCCACAGTTTTTCCTATCTTTGGAAGGCTGACACTCCACTGTTTTCCTCAGCTGTCAATGAGTGATAAACATCAATCTTTATTTACTCTGGAAAGTGTCATAAAACTTTGTGAAAGGAGTCAGGGAAGCTCAGCCATACTGAGGTTTGAAGATAGGTTGAAATGTTGGTGTCATGGTCCTGGGCCATGTGGGCCCAGTATTCTTAGTTCCTTGTATTTTTGTATTTCGTTCCTTATTTAGACCATGTTTTCTGAGTTGCCCTGTTGTGTTGTTCCCTAAGTGTTTTCCCTTCATGGCTTTTACCCCCTGTGTGCCCCTCTGTGTATCTGTGAGCCCTCGTCTCTCCTTATGTTTTATTCCATGTTTCCCCTGCCCTTTATGTCTAAGTTCTCCCCGTGCTCTCTCTCCCCCCTGTGTGCCCTCTATGTATTTATGAGCCCTTGTCTCCCTTTGTGGTTGTTTCATGTTTCCCCAGCCCGTTATGTCTGTGTTTTCCCCGTGCTCTCTCTCCTCCTGTCTGAACCTCTGTGCCTGTACATGTCATGTTCAGTTCACCCCGCCCTGTCTCGTTATGATTATCAGTGTCACCTGTGTTCCCCGTGTGTGCCCACTTTCCTCGTTTACCCTCTGTGTATTTCTGTCTGAGTCTCCCTCTGTTCGGCGTCGCGTTCTCCCTCATGTTGTGTGTAATTCTCCCCGTGGTTCGGTTCCTTGTACAGCTCATGCTTTAGTTTTCCCAGTTTTAGGTTATTTTGTATTACTTCTCGTGGCCAGCAATAAAGCTGTGTTTTTTGAGTTTATCCCCGTGTCTGTGAGTCTGCATCTTGGGTCCTTCTCCTGCCTGCCACACAGCAAACCATGACAGTTGGTAGTTGAAGTCAAAGTAAACTTTAATATCTCTGCTATATAAAGTTCAGTTTAAAGAGAGACGAGACAACGAGGCTCCAGTTCCATACAGTGCAAGAGAAAACAATAAATCTAGGAAGAATAATAATAATAATAAGAATAAATATATATATATACTTTGAGACTGAGGTAAGGGGAGCAAATAGACACATATACTAGTGTATATTTACTTTACTTTAGTGTATAGTGCTGTGTTTTGCCACTGTTAACCATGGTTAGCCTCCGTTAGCTGCTGTTAGCTTTGGTTGGCCTTTGTTAACTGCTGTTAGCCGTGGTTAGCCTCTGTTTGCTGTTCTTAGCTGTGGTTAGCCTCTGTTAGCTGCGGTTAGCCGTGGTTAGCCTCTGTTTGCTGTTCTTAGCTGTGGTTAGCCTCTGTTAGCTGCTTTTAGCCTTTGTTAGCTGCTGTTCACTATTGTTAATCAAGCTTTCTTTGAAGTGGCAGTAACTTTGTTGGGCTTTAACGTTGAGTGAATAAAGCCTCCTATTATGTGAGAATGAAATCAAACTATTTACCAAAGTGTAAGTGTGATTTTTAGAACACTTGAGCCTAACATCTGCTGGTATAATAATAGCTTATACCATGCTGTTGTTATGTTTGCTGTCCTTCTCTTGTTCCTTTGCGATGAGCGGGTTGCATGTCTAATCTGCTGACAATAAGTAATTGTTACAATATCAAGAAAAAATAAGTATGTCTATGCACGTTTCATGTGTTAGACTCCTGACTTCAGCTCAGGAGATGAGGCATGAAGTGAGGATGAGGAGGAGCATTTTATTAAGATTCTGTTCAGGTTTTCACTTCTTCTTCTTCTTTCGGTGTTATTCCGAGCGAGCCCCTCCAAGATGTGATCCAGTTTGTGCTCAGAGGTCTTATTCTGAGTATTCACGGCAGCCGTAAGCTTATCCAAGATCTTATCCGTGCTGCACTCAATGAGCCCATTTTGAGAAACTCAGGCCTCGTCCCATCATTTCAATCCCAGCGGGCAGCCTTGTGGGGGTTTGAACAGCCGGTTCCGCTTTCTTAATTCGATAAGTCTGGGCCAAGCCAGCTCCGATCAGCAAAAACCCTGTTACCATTGTTCCGAATACGTAGATATCTTCAGCACTCAGGCTCACCCAAGCCCAGACTTCTCGTTGAGAAAAGGGTGTCAATTGCATTCAGGGACCAGTTGATCAAATCCATAATTCCTCTTTTAGGTTTTAGAGAACAGACTGTGAGAGAGTGTCCAGGGAAAGTAATACAAAAAACACGAGACTAGAGAAGGACATAAGAGGCTAAGCAGGGAAGCTAAGGGAGAGGAGGAGGAGGGGAGGAGAAAAGTGCGACCGCCTTCGTCAAGAGCAAGTGTTAAAACTTAACATTTTTTTCTATCAAGCAAAAGAAAAAGGTGTTGCTGACAAAGAGACATTTCCTGCTTTGTGCACACTGTGAGCATGAGGTATGAATGTGGTTGTGGTTTGTTTCACCATAGGCTCACCTTTAGTTGAACAAAGAAAAATGAAATTATTTTTGTTTCATGCAAAATGTTTTCACACTTTTCTGAGTGGCTTTGCACATATAAATACAATGAAATGTTCTATTTGTGTGTTCCACCACACTGGAGGTTTTTATTCACATTAATTAAATGAAAGTTTGGGTCTGTGGTTCTTTGCATGCTGCCACTTCCTCAAAGCTTCTTCCTGTCTGAAAGAAGACAGAAGGCTGGACAAGAAACACTGAGAGCAGCATCAGTACAGAACAGCTTGATATCTACCAGGGTCAGTACTGCAGAACTGTTAGAGTACAGCTTAAACTCCTGCTCAGCGTCTCAGTCCTCTCAACATGTCCTCAGATATTGACGCATCAGTGTCCAATGTAGTGGTTTAGGTGTAAGTAGACCATCAACACTGACACAAATACAAGACAGCCTGTAGTGACCACTATGTGTTAATCACAGACTGACAGGAAATAAGCACAGACCAACATCCACACTGCTTTCTAACAGGACCACAGACTCTGAATCCTCCTTCAGTCCTGAAGGGCTCTTTCAGATGTGCTACACTGGGTCTAAGAGTGCTGTGCCTCCTGATGTTAGCTGGGATCATCATCCTGTCCATATGCTGTAAGATAAGATACAACCTCTGAACTTCTCCTGCAAATGAATGTATGACTGATACTGAATCCCAGCAGCCAACAAACATGCAGCTTCACAACCAGAACGTGTCCTTCTGCCACAGCAAATACAGGAAGTACATGAAGCCAACACAGAAGCAGCAAACACTGCAGTTCCTTTAATGACCACTGGAGGCTGATGCTGAAAGCGAGTCAGTCCCCACAGACTCCCATGTTAACATGAGCACCTTTGCTGCAGTAAAAACATGTTTCCATTCAGGACCAAATGAGTTTTGGTCTCTAAGGATAGTTTCCTCTTCATAAAAACTGCACGGTGGCATTTTAAATGGAATTCTCTGATCAATAATATGAGCTGCTGTGTGGTACAGCCTGACCAACACGTTGGTTTTGCTGACTGAGCTTCTAGTATTTCATCAGTCTGTTACTTAGCACTGATTAGCAGGTGTGTGTCTGTGTGCATGATTCCTGGCTCATATCTTGTGTGTGTTGTGGAGTGAATGTTCTTGTTGTTCCTTCAAACTCTTCACTCAACACGCTGATTCTGTGATTATCTCAACAAAGCAGACAGGCAGCAGCATCTGCTGCAGACTGATGCAGGTGCAGCCACACTATGTTAGACAGTGGCCGTCTGTCATTGTGCGACTAGTTAGTTCACTTGGTGTATTAAGCAGGTAGCTAACAAGCTAATGTTAGCTCCATTCATCTGCTGGGATATATCAATGAATCTTTTTTTATTACATCAAATCACAACAACAGTTGCCTCGAGGTTCTTTATATTATCAGGTAAAGACTCCACAATAACAAAAACAACAACACAGAGAAAACTTCCAGCAGCTGCTGATGTTTGGATTTTAAGGTGGTTTGATTCTATGTTTTAAATCAGTTGATGATCTTCAGCTGACCTTTAGCTCCTGGTGGAGCTGTGACAGACTTAATGCTGGATCAGCAGAAACATCACAAATCTATGATGTGAGAACAGAGACGCCTGCAAAAGGACGTCTGAAAACAGGAAGTTCCTGGAAGCTGCAGGAAGAAACATTTATTAATTATAAATAAGCAGAAAGAGGAAGTGTTGAAGCCTCAGAGCAGCTTTGACTGAATGTAAAAAGACATATTTTCAGTGAGAACAGGCACATGTCACATGAGTCAGAATCTATTCTTTCAAAGCATATAGATAACATCTCTGACTACAGGTGTAGAAATGCTGTTTGACTCTTCACCTTCTTCCTCCACACTGAAGCACAATTATTCTGAATCTTGTCAGTGGTTTTTGTTCACAGTTGATACGTATTTAGCTCATCAGATTTCCTGTAGTTCTAACACCTCCACCCACAGGACATGTTAAAGAACAATGGCTGCAAGTTTCTGACTCTTATTGATATTTGACAAAGCAGAGGAAGAAGATTATTTCTGTTCAACGTTTCACTCATTTTATTTTATTTTATTTTATTTTGGTTTCACTGAAATATTTCAGATGCTTTGAACAAGAGTGAAAACAAAAGACTTCATGCTAAATGTGACAAACTGAACCACGTTTACAATGACACCAAAAAGAATCACACTGAGCTCCAGGATGAACTTCAAGGTAAGCAAACACCAAGTTCTTATATCACAGATATATTTGTAGAACATTTTAACTTAATTTGAATCTTTTTTTCTCTAAAGACACAAAAACCAGCCTGACTCAGTTACAGAGCCGTTATGATGAACTGAGTAAAAACCACAGTCAGCTACAGGAAGAAGTGAAGAAGCTGAAGGAGAAGATAGAAGGTAATAAAGTTTGAATAACTGATAGAAAACATCAGTGTTACACAGTGATAACCTGATTGTGTCTTTGTTTTGAATCCTAAATGTTTGATGCTGTGTAACAGTTTCTCTGTATAAATGTAAGTTTCAGTTCATTATGAATAAGAGAGAAAACCTGAGTTTAAATGAAGCATTTACAGGGAAAATGACAGGAACCAAAGATTAATGTGATACAACAGGACACAAAGTCTGACTTTAAAACATGTGTTTGACTTTAAGGGAAGTGTCCAGAAGAATGGACGAGGTTTGGAAGCAGCTGTTACTTTAAATACACTGAGTGGAAAACTTGGTCTGACAGCAGGAGAGCCTGTCAGGATAAAGGAGCTGATCTGGTGATGATAAACAGCAAAGAGGAACAGGTGGGTGTGTTTGTTCATGTCTGTGTGATCTTTGATGGAGCTGACAGTCATCTGTTACTTGTGTTTTTGATCTGCTTCCTGTCTCCACTCTGATGGATTTCTCTCTTATTTCTGCACAATGGAAGAAATGTTTCATCACATTTACAGGGAGTGCAGAATTATTAGGCAAATGAGTATTTTGTCCACATCATCCTCTTCATGCATGTCGTCTTACTCCAAGCTGTATAGGCTCGAAAGCCTACTACCAATTAAGCATATTAGGTGATGTGCATCTCTGTAATGAGAAGGGTGTGGTCTAATGACATCAACACCCTATATCAGGTGTGCAGAATTATTAGGCAACGTCCTTTCCTTTGGCAAAATGAGTCAAAAGAAGGACTTGACAGGCTCAGAAAAGTCAAAAATAGTGAGATATCTTGCAGAGGGATGCAGCAGTCTCAAAATTGCAAAGCTTCTGAAGCGTGATCATCGAACAATCAAGCGTTTCATTCAAAATAGTCAACAGGGTCGCAAGAAGCGTGTGGAAAAACCAAGGCGCAAAATAACTGCCCATGAACTGAGAAAAGTCAAGCGTGCAGCTGCCAAGATGCCACTTGCCACCAGTTTGGCCATATTTCAGAGCTGCAACATCACTGGAGTGCCCAAAAGCACAAGGTGTGCAATACTCAGAGACATGGCCAAGGTAAGAAAGGCTGAAAGACGACCACCACTGAACAAGACACACAAGCTGAAACGTCAAGACTGGGCCAAGAAATATCTCAAGACTGGTTTTTCTAAGGTTTTATGGACTGATGAAATGAGAGTGAGTCTTGATGGGCCAGATGGATGGGCCCGTGGCTGGATTGGTAAAGGGCAGAGAGCTCCAGTCCCACTCAGACGCCAGCAAGGTGGAGGTGGAGTACTGGTTTGGGCTGGTATCATCAAAGATGAGCTTGTGGGCCTTTTCGGGTTGAGGATGGAGTCAAGCTCAACTCCCAGTCCTACTGCCAGTTTCTGGAAGACACCTTCTTCAAGCAGTGGTACAGGAAGAAGTCTGCATCCTTCAAGAAAAACATGATTTTCATGCAGGACGATGCTCCATCACACGCGTCCAAGTACTCCACAGCGTGGCTGGCAAGAAAGGGTATAAAAGAAGAAAAACTAATGACATGGCCACCTTGTTCACCTGATCTGGACCCCATTGAGAACCTGTGGTCCATCATTTGATATTAATGAGTTTTTTGGGTTCATTGAGAACATGGTTGTTGTTCAATAATAAAATTATTCCTCAAAAATACAACTTGCCTAATAATTCTGCACTCCCTGTATTCTTCCTTCAGACATATTCACAAGATGATGTCACTACAACAGAAGTGCTGAATTATGACTGGAGACAATATTTGTGTCTCTTCTCAAACAGGAATTTGTCAGTAAACTGAACATGAGAGGACACTCTTGGATTGGTCTGAGAGCCAAACAGACATCAGGAGGATATAAATGGGAATGGGTGGATGGATCAGCGCTGACAGAAACGTGAGACATTAGTTTGTTTCTATTCCAGAGTTATTATTTAGAAGTGAAACACTGATGTTTTGGAAGATAGATCAGCAATACATGAGCTGAGCTATTTTCCAACAGCCCCACAAACTGAATGTAAAGAAAAGCAGAAATCCTCCTTTGAATGAACAGCTGTGCTTGAACTCTCTTCATCTGCAGTCTGTGATGACGTTCAGTTACAACAAGTCAGTTTGAAGGAATCAGGATTGAAACATGTTCAAAGCAGCGACCGACACATTTCACTTTGTTCAATTTGTCTTCATGTTTTGTGCTGTAATGTTTCTTTTCTCACAGAACAAAAAGTGTTTCAGAGAATTCCTGTCTCTTCTTCTTTGGTGTTTGTAAAACTTCAGAACATATGAAGGAAGAAGCTTCAGTAAATATGACCTGATAGACACACATTTCAAAGTGATGTCTGTAAACAGCTGACAAAACAGTTTCAAACAGCAGAAAGTCAGCTCTGACTTCTTTTTATTCTCCATTTTTACAGCAGGAAGATTTCATATTCATCAAAGCTTGAAAGCTGTTTTAGTGTGCATGATGATTCTCAGAGAAAAGTCTAAAGGAGGGAAAGTGGGCGAGAAACCTGGGAAAGAAATACAGCAAATATTGGAAATATTCCAAAAGAGACGCATATTTATATGAATGTGACAATAGTTATGAGTTTAGTCCAGTTTCATATCAGATTTGATCTCTCTGACAGGTTCTGGGCAGCAGGACAGTCAGATCCTTATTCTGGTCTCTATGCAGTCTGCTGTGACAGTGATGGGAGATGGACACGGTCATATTATTCTTATTCAGCGACCTTCATCTGTGAGAAATGAGTTTGGTGCTTTGATGTAAATGTTTGAATAATCCAACCAAAGACACCTCACTATGAAATGTCCTGCATGAGCCTCAGACTCAGCTTACAGTCTTTACTTGTTCATTCTGCATCATATATTGATTACATATATTGTCCCTCTGTGCTCTGTGCTGTACAGTAAGGTTGGAAGTCATCCACACAAAACCTTGAAGTACTTCATTACTCTGTAGTTCCAGCAAATTGTTCTAATAAAAGTCAAAGTGCAGCTTGTCTTTACTTTGCTTTACTTGGTTCATTCATCAGCCTGTTGGTCCTAAAACTACAGTTCTGGGTGTTTTTCAGGTTTTTCAACTTCAAATATTTTCATGATTTTTTACCCATTAAATTTTAGTTTAATGCTTTTCATTATTTTTACAATATTCATTATATTTCCCAATATAATAAATATTGGAAGATAAGAGTCTAATCACCACCAGTGACCTCTGTCAAAGATTAATTCAAAGTTCAGCAACAAGATTGATTTGTTTGCATAAATATTTTGATGTCGTGTCAGATTTGAAATGTTTCACTCTTTAGACAAAATGCACATTAACAAAATCTGTAATCGTCTGCAACGTCCCAAACGTGTCAGCTCTAAACTGAAGATGTTTTGTGCATTTTAACATCGTTGTGCAACGTGTTGCTACATCTCTCAGTGTTGCTACATCTCTGGTCACAGGCTGCCATGTAGGCAGCCTGTGGCGCTGTCACTTGGTGTTCGCTCGCTCTGTGGTAGAGTATCACTTCCTGTTCCTGCTCAAACACAGTGGTGTTTCTGAGTAGCTTATTTGCTTAGCGATTTAATTAACAACTTTTAAATACATTCTTCTTTCATAGTATAATCTTCACGTGCTTCCTCCGAAGCACACTTTCTGTGTACTCACTACCTAATTCATAGCCAAAGTATTCACTCACTGTCTCTGTACTGTCTCGCTAGCCTAGCTTAGCTCGTAGCCGACTCGTTAGCACCATGGCTACTTCACCTGTCCCTCCTGCACTTTCTTGCTCATTGTGTCAGATGTTTAGTTACTCCTCGGCCTCCTTTAGCAGTAATGATATCTGTAACAAATGTAGCATATTTGCAGCTCTGGAGGCCAGGATTACTGAATTGGAGACTCGGCTTCGCACCCTTCATTCACCCGCAGCTAGCCAGGCCCCTGTAGCTGGTGCAGCCGAAAATAGCGTAGGCCCCGCTAGCTGTTCCCCGGCAGGTCCCAAGCAGCTGGGGAATCAGGGCGGCTGGGTCACGGTGAGGAGGAAGCATAGTCCTAAACAGAAGCCCCAGGTACACCACCAACCCGTTCATGTGTCTAACCGTTTTTCCCCACTCGGCGACACACCCGCCGGGGGTCAAACTCTGGTAATTGGCGATTCTGTTCTCAGACATGTGAAGCTAGAGACACCGGCAACCATAGTCAATTGTCTTCCAGGGGCCAGAGCAGGCGACATTGAAGGAAATTTAAAACTGCTGGCTAAGGGTAAACGTAAATTCAGTAAAATCATAATTCACGTCGGCAGTAATGACACCCGGTTACGCCAATCGGAGGTCACTAAAATCAATATTGAATCGGTGTGCAACTTTGCCAAAACAATGTCGGACTCTGTAGTTTTCTCTGGTCCCCTCCCCAATCAGACCAGGAGTGACATGTTTAGCCGCATGTTCTCCTTAAATTGCTGGCTGTCTGAGTGGTGTCCCAGAAACGATGTGGGCTTCATAGATAATTGGCAAACCTTCTGGAGGAAACCTGGTCTTGTTAGGAGAGACGGCATCCATCCCACTTTGGATGGAGCAGCTCTCATTTCTAGAAATATGGACAAATTTATTAAACCCCCCAAAATATGACTATCCAGAGTTGGGACCAGGAAGCAGAGTTGCAGTCTTACACGCTTCTCTGCAGCTTCTCTCCTCCTGCTACCCCCCCAAAAACCCATCTCCATAGAGACTGTGTCAGCTTCCAAAAAGACAAAAAACAAACCAAAAACCAGCAACAAACAACTTAAACATAAACAATCACAAAGAAAGAACAATACAGTATCCACATCTGAACCAAAGAGTAAAACAGTGAAATGTGGATTATTAAATATTAGGTCTCTCTCCTCCAAGTCTCTGTTAGTACATGACTTAATAATTGATCAACAAATTGATTTACTCTGCCTTACAGAAACCTGGTTGCAGCAGGATGATTATGTTAGTTTAAATGAATCAACACCCCCGAGCCATTCTAACTACCAGAAATCTCGAAGCACAGGCCGAGGGGGCGGTGTGGCAGCAATTTTTCACACCAGCCTATTAATTAATGAAAGACCAAGACAGACTTTTAATTCATTTGAAAGCCTGATGCTTAACATTGTCCACCCCAGCTGTGAAACTCAGAAACCAGTCTTACTTGTTATCATCTATCGTCCACCTGGGCCTTACACAGAGTTTCTGTCTGATTTCTCAGAGTTTTTATCTGATTTAGTTCTGAGCTCAGATAAAATAATTATTGTGGGTGATTTTAACATCCATGTAGATGCTAAAAATGACAGCCTCAACATGGCATTTAATCTGTTATTAGACTCAATTGGTTTCTCTCAAAATGTAAAAGAACCCACCCACCACTTTAATCACACTCTAGAT